CAAAAAAGAAAAGACAAATGACCTTATTTACAAAACAGAAACACTCACAGACATAGAAAACAAACTTATGGTGACCAGGTGGGGAAGTGGGTGGGAAGAGATAAATTGGGAGTTCGAGATTTGCAGATACTAACTACTATATATAAAATAGATAAACAAGTTTATACTATATAGCACAGGGAACTATATTCAATATCTCGTAGTAACTCATGGTGAAAATAATATGAAAATGAATATATGTATGTTGATGTATGACTGAAGCATTGTGCTGTACACCAGAAATTGACACAACATTGTAAACTGACTATACTTCAATTTAAAATACATATATATATATGTATATATATATATAAAATATGTAATTAAATGAGAACAAAGACAAAGAGCATAAAAATGGTAGTGAAGAAAAATTCTGATAAATGTATAGTCGGCCCTAAAATGAACAATAATGTATGAGCTAAGTATTAATTTTAAATTAATTTTTCAAGAGTCAAAACATATGTTAAAGGAGCATCCTAGAACTAAAATTATATGTTATTAAGCACTCAAGAGTAAGGGCAAGAAGGGAGAATTAAAGTAAAAACATTTCCAAAATTATTTAATTTGGAGGTGGATGAGGGAAGGTGCAGAAAAGGATAGTGAAATGTGATAATGGATACAGTTATTATTTAATTTTGGTGTATGAATATGGAAATTGAGATTGAAGTGACTAAAAATGGGAGAAATCACGAGTAAAATGGGAATAAATAGTAAAACTTGTAAATTATTCATGATAAATAGAATATTTAAAAATCACAATGCATCCAAGTTTGAAAAAGAAAAAATGGAAATAAATTAGAATTGAAAGTAATCATAAAATAACATGAAAGAAACAATATAAAACACATGTTACAATAAATGGAGCAGCTTAACTCCCTTATTGAAAGAGAAAAACTAAATGATTAAATAAGAAAGAGATGAAAATGAAGAGATGGGCCCAGATTATATATCAGGCACCTGTGAACCGAAAAAGCAAGATAAGTAAAACTAGTATCAAATAACAATCAAGACCCATTACATTGCAAAACATATAGCCTTGAATTACATAAGGCAAAATCTCCTTGAAATACAAGGACAACTTGATAAGAATGATCATTGCAATGGAAAACTTTAATACTCAGTATTTGACAACATGGTGGTGGAGGTGGTGATTCTTTGGAAGTCTGTGGCTAACCTTCTGGTGTCCACTGTGACCAGAGCCAAGCTGTAAGAGGTGGTAAAAGCAATGGTTTCATTTCATTTCAAAGTTGCAGCCACGTGGTTGGGTGCCTTGCCTCACTGTGGCTCTCCGTGGTTCATTTGTCCTCCTGAAGATTCTAAAGCTACCTAATAGCTTTTTATAATCCTTTTTTACTTAAAGAGGTGTCTGTTGTCTGCAACTACAATCTTTTTTTTGGAAAGTGACATGGCAATATCAATGAAATTTTCAATGTACATACTCTGACCCAGCAGTGCAAACAACAAAATGGCATTCTTCATCCATCAGACTGGTAAAAGTTAGAGGTGTTAAAGGAGTTCTGACACAAGAAATTTTATTTCTAGGAATCTATCTGACAGTATATAAAATATGTACTAGTATATGAACTAGCATTTCTTCAATAACAAACCAAAAAAAGATACATCCTGGATGTCTATCAATATTATTATATATCCATATTATAAGATTCTGTGAAGCTCTTAAGAAGACTTAGATCTGAATGTGTTCATTTAAAAAGCTGTCCATAATGTCTTGTTAAGTGAGAAGTGCATATTTCAGAGTAGTATACATACTGTGATCCCTCTTCCTTGAATATAGTGTGTGTATGTCTCAAAGCAGAGGAAAAAATATGTAAGGATTTAAGGTAATCACAGTAGTAGTTAGTCTAGGGAGTACGGCGAAGGAATGGAAGATGGTTCATTATATTTTAAACACTTCTGTATTGTTTGGAATGTTAAAAAGAATATTTTACAATTCAAATAACTGAAATAAAACTGATAGGAAAAATAGAGACTGCTAAAGTCTGGTATGTAGCATCAGCAGGACAGGCACATAAGATTTACAGCCGTACTCATAGGCCATAGAAATGTCATGGGAGTTGTTATCATGACAAGTCTAGCTTAGACAGAGAGGAAAGGATGTTAATACCACTGTCAAAGAGAGCTTATTCACAAAATTGTTGAAACTTACTATTTTATGTATGTAGGACAGCAGTTTCTGATTGAAACTGTGATTTCATGATAGATGCCTTAGCTAGGTCAGATGCCCCCAAGTAACTCCATTATTTTCTTCTCTGCTACAGAACTGAACACAGGGGAACTTCACATGGAGGGTTCACAAAGCATCAGTACATTTTATTCAGTTGTGAAACAAACAGAACTCCCCTTTGAGTGGAGAAATCTAGTTTTGCTTTTGGATGCTACCTCTCTGACTCTGAATTTTGGACTCCCAAGATGTCAAGTGTTAATGGCTTTGGTATGAAGTCAGAGACACTCACTTACATGGGCTAAGGAATGGTAGGGATGACCTTTAAAAGCAGTATGTTTACATTTGATTCGTTCAATATAAAAAATATTTCTTCCGTCATGAAGAGAAAGTCTGGGGTTTAATGAGATCTTTTGTTGGGGATAAGTGGCTAAGATTTGTAAAAGAAGTCATTTATAGTATAGAAAAACGACTGACCAAAGGCAGATCAAACTGAATCTATAAAAATTAAGCCCTTGATTGATACTTTTCCCTTTAAGAAAAACACACAAATAAAAACAAAAAACAGAGGTTACGTTGCTTGTTGTATCCACCCAGAGTTACAGATTTTAATAAGTTGGATGGCTTTTGTGAATTCTAACTCAGTATCTAATAGTGTTGTCCACCATTTGCATTAAAGAGGAAACAGAAACAAACTCAAAATGCCCAGTCAAGGTCAGTGGATCATCAAAAACCATTCATACCAGAAGAGCTCCTATGCTATACCACAGACATAACACTGAACTTCTTGAATAATTCCACAGAAATATACTGCCAAATACACTTTAGAACTCACCTTAAAAAAACCTGGAAGTTGCTAAGTCATATAGATTTTATAGAAAAGTATGTTATCATTGGAAAATTTTTCTTCCAAGAAGAAAATATAAGGAGGAAGTAGTAGTATAATTATTTTTCTTTACTTAACAGTGTTGCCAAGCAGTGACTCATTGTGAGGTTTCTACTGACATGGAGGTTACAGACACACAGAGCAAATCCTGATGTCTGGAAATTTGTGTTAAAGCTATTTCATCTCAAAATGTGCAGTTAAAAAGAAAACTCTAGTATTCCTTTAGGATTATTGTCAACAATGAAACATAATTTTAAAAGCCGTAAAGCCATCAAGTTAAGATATTTTCACCAGTAGCTTACCTGCACACTGACCACAATGACCAAAGATGTGGCCATGGTAACTGCAAAAGACTGGTAGTCTGCGATGTGCTGTCCGTCTTCTCCAGCCACGTTGTAAAAGGCCCCATAGGGGATAAAGAAAAGGGCTAATGAGGTGTAGATCCCATGTGCCACACAGATGAAAAATTTATGCTTGTTAAAAAGTAGATTCAGCTGTCCAGGTCTGTAGAGCTGGGGACAATCCATGCTGTTCTGGTCACTAACATCCTGTCAACAAAGAGTTACTTCAGTGAAGGAGGCTTGAGAAGTTGAGAGGCCCTGAATTCCCTATCTCCAGAAGCAGCATGTGCGTGTCTAAGCCTGTCCTGATATGCACTATTCAATTTGTTTTCATTCCCACAGTAACCTAAAGGGTAATAAAATGATCCACATTTTACTGGTGCAGCCAAATGGAAAGTTTGGAGATTCCTCAAAAACTAAAAATAGACTTACCATATGACCCAGCAATCCCACTTCTGGGTATATATCTGGAGGGAACTCAGTTGAAAAAATACATGCACCCCAGTGTTCACAGCAGCACTATTTACAACAGCCAAGATATACAGGCAACCTAAATGTCCACTGACAGATGACTCAATAAAGAAGTTGTGGTATATTTATATAATAGAATACTATTCAGCCATACAAAAGAATAAAATATTGACATTTGCAGCAACATGGATGGACCTAGAGATCGTCATTCTAAGTGAAGTAAGCCAGAAAGATACCATATGGTATCACTCACATGTGGAATCTTAAGAAAAAAAAGGACACTATGAACTCATCTATAAAACAAGCAGACTTGCATACATAGTAATCGACCTTATGGTTACCGGGGAAAGAGGGTGGGAAGGGATAAATCTGGGGGTTTGAGATTTAGAAATGTTAGCCACTATATATAAAAACAGATTTTTAAAAACGTTTCTTTAGTATAGCACAGGGAACTATGTTCAGTATCTTGAAATAACCTTTAATGAAAAAGAATATGAAAATGAATGTATGTATATATATGCATGACTGGGACACTGTGCTGTACACCACAAATTGACACACTGTAACTGACTGTACTTCAATTTTTTAAAAAATGGGAAAAAAATGATCCCTATTTTATACAAGAGGAACCTGAGTCTCCAAGAGCAATTCATGAGAGACCACACAGCTCTTACAGCAGAACCAGAACTTAACTTGCACCCAGGTATCTGGCTTCAAACTGAAGTTTCTTTCCAACACTCTGTTGCAGCTGCACTCGTGCTCCCGGGGTTCTAGTATCTCCTGTGCAGCCAGTGGCCCCAGGGGTTAGCTGTCAAAGCAGTGTATGCTAGTGACCAGGGAATGTCAGCAGAGAGCTGCAGAGTCAGAATTGGTGCACCTGAGTTCCCAACTTTTGAGGGAAGGTGAGCAGGAGGAGGGGAACCAGGAATGGGGGAAACTGCATGGGGGATTCTATGGAGGAAGGAGCCGAGCCTGAAGAGCTGAGTGCTCTACCCAGGGAGGATTCCAACGGCAGTCACTAGGTGACCAGGACTAAGAACTGAGACAGAATGAGAAGGCATCATGCTTAGCCCAGCAGGGTCCTGGGAGAAGCTGAAGCAGCGCTCCTCACACTTCACATGCGCACTAATGACCTGGGGAGCTGATTACGATTCAGCAGGGCTGGGTTGGGGCCTGAGAATCTGCATTTCTAACCAGCTCCAAAGTCATGCTGATGACCATGCTGTGAGCACCACAGCCAAAAAGCATGGCAAGAACTGACCACTGGTGACATCACAGGACCACAGGTGAGGAGAAGCAGCCAAGGAGGGAGCAACCCAGGCACGAACTCTGGGAACAGACCATGTTCCCCTTCTTGCTTGAAGGATGGCTCAGGTCTTGATGAATGGGGCCCCAAGAGAAACACTGACATAGCTTCTTCAGGAAATCCTGTTTGTGACGCTCTTAGGTGCTGCTTCTGCTAGTCCAGTGACTGATAAGGTTACATGCACAGGCTTTGGAGCCAGACAATCCTGAGTTCAAACCCTAGCTCTGCTGCTTGGCAGGTGTGTAGTCTTAGACCTACTACTTAATCTGTCTGAGCCTCAGTTTCCTCATCTCCAGAAATGCAAACAACAGCATCTCCCTCACAGAACCGCTTATGATTAAATGGGTATGTATTCAACAGAGTTCTTGCTGCAGCTCTCGGGAAAAGAAAAAAAAAACACAGATGCTTCAATAAATAATAACAAAATGATGATGATAATAATAAGGTTTGTCAATTTTGTTTAGCTTTTCAAGGAACAAGGTTTTAGTTTCACTGACTTTCTCTATTGGCTTCTTAGTCTCTATTTCAATTATTTCTACTCTAATCTTTACTTCTTTCCTTCTACTAACTTTGAGCTTTATTTGTTCATCTTTTTTCTAGTTCCTTAAGGTGTATAGGTACATTGTTTATTTGAGACTTTTCTTCTTCCTTGGGGTAAGCATTTATTGCTATGAACTTACCTCTTAGAATTGCTTTTTCTGTATGTCACAAATTTTGGTATATTTCCATATTAATCTGTCTCAAAGTATTTTTTTCCTCTCCTGATTTATTCTTTGAACCACTGGTTGCTCAGTAGCATGTTGTTTAATCTCCACATATTTGTGAATTTTCCAGTTTTCACAAAATTTCTAGTTTTATTCCATTGTGGTTGGAAAAGATGCTCGATATGATTTCAGCCTTCTTAAATAGTATTTCAATCTTCTTAAATTTAAGAAGACTTAAGACTTCTTGTGGCTTAACATATGCTCTGTCCCTTAAAATGCTCCATGTGCGCTTGAGAAGAATTTGCATTCTGCTGCTTTTAGATGAAGTGTGTATACACACACATACACACACATTAGGTTCATCTTGTCTAACATGTCATTTAAGGCATTTCCTTATTGATTTTCTGTTTGAATAATCTATCTGTTGATCAAAGTAAGGTATTAAAGCCTCTACTGTTACTGTATTGCTGTCTATTTCTCCGTTTAGGTCTATTAATATTTGCTTTATATATGTAGGTGCTCCTGTGTGGGTGCATAAATATTTACAAATGTTATATTCTATTATTGGATTAGATTCCTTTATCATTATGTAATACCCATCTCTGTCTCTTACTAGTCTTTGTTCTAAAGTCTATTTCATCTGATATAAGTATAGCTGCTCCAGTTTTTTGTTTTTGGTTTTTGTGGGGTTGTTTTTTTTTCCCATTTGTATGGAGTATCTCTTTCCATCCCCTCACTTTCAGTCTGTGTGTGTCTTTACATTTAAGGCGAGTCTCTTGTAGACAGCCTATAGATGGGTCTTGTTTTTTAATCCTTTCAGCCACTCTATGTTTTGATCAGAGAATTTAGTTCATTTACATTTAAGGTAATTATTGATAGGTAGGTACATGTTGCCATTTTGTAAATTGTTTTCGGGCTGTTTTTGTAATTCCTTTCTGTCCCTTTCTTCTTCTCTTGCTTTCTTCCTTTGTGCTTTGGTGACTTTCTTCAGTGATATATTTGTTTATCTTTCTGTATTCACTGTAAATTTTTGCTTTGTGGTTACATGAGGCTTACATATAATAACATATCTATAACAGTCTATTTAAGTTGATAACTGTTTAATTTTGATCCCATTCTAAAACTCAGTATCTTTTACTCTCCTCCCAGATTTTATGTTTTTGATCTCATATTTTACACCTTTTTAACTTGTGTATTCCTTAACTAATTATTGTAGTCATAGTTATTTTTACTACTTTTGTCTTTTAATATTCCTACTAGCTTTATAAATGACTGATCCACTACTCTTATTATATACCGTTGACCCCTGAACAACACAGGGGTTAGGGGCACTAACACTCACAAATCAAAAATCTGCATGTAACTTTATAGTTGGTTCTCCATATCCATGGTTTCATATCCATGGATTCAGCCAACTATGGATTGTGGACTCACATAGTTCAAAACCATGTTGTTCAAGGGTCAACTGTATTTATCTATTGAGTGATATTTATTCTTTAATATGTTTTCTTGTTACTAATTAGCACCCATCTTTTCAGCTTAAAGAAGCCCCTTTAACATTTCTTACAAAGCTGGTTTAGTAGTGATGAACTTCTCTGTCTTTTACTTATCTGGAAAACTCTTTATCTCTCCTTCAATTCTGAATGATAACCTTGCTGGGTAAAGTATTCTTCTTCAAAAGGTTTGAAAGTTCTGCCTTTGAATTTGGAATATATCATGCCACTTCCTTCTGGGCTGCAAAGTTTCTGCTGATAGTCTTATGGGGGTTTGCTTGCACATAACAAGTTGTTTTTCTCTTGCTGCTTTTAATATTCTTTGTCTTTAACTTTCCATACTTTAATTACAATGTGTTTTTGTGTGAGTCTCTTTGGGTTTACCTTATTTGGAACTCTCTGAGCTTCTTGGATCTGAATGTCTGTCTTCTCAGGTTGGGGAAGTTTTCAGTCATTATTTCTACAAATATCATTTCTGCCCCTTTCTCTCTCTCTCCTCCTTTCTGGGACCCGTATAATGTGAATGTTAGCCTGTTTGATGTTGTCCTGTAAGTTCCTTAAGCAATCTTCACTTTTAAAAATTCTTTTCTTTTTAATGCTCTGATTGGGTGAGCTCCACTGTGTTATCTTCAAGTTTTTGATCCTTTCTATTTCTTCATCTACTCTGCTATGGGACCCCTGTAATGTATATATTTCAGTTCAGTTATTATATTCTTCAGCTCTGTGACTTCTACTTGATACTTTCTTGTATTTTTTATCTTTTTGTTGAATTTCTCATTGTATTCATTCTTCTCAATTCTGTGAGCATTTTTAAGATCATTGCTTTAAACTATTTATTGGGTAAATTGTTTCTTTCCATTTCATTAAGGTTTTTTTTCCTGAGGTTTTATCTTATTCTTTCATTTGGAACATATTCCTCTGTTTTGTTTTGTTTTGTTTTCATTTTATTTGACTCTCTGTGTTGGTTTCTATACAGTTGATAAAACCACCACTTCCCCCACTCTTGAAGAGTGGCCTCATGTAGAAGATAAACCGTATTGTTTAACCCTACCCCAGCTCTTTGTGGTCTCTCAAACCTTAATGCTTGTCCAAGCAGCCTGTTATATTTCTAATAGCTCTCAGTAGTTGGGAATGTGCCAAGACATATCAGTGTCCCTGTGGATTGGATTTCAGCATCTAGACTCAGGCTGATTGGAATCCAGACCCTCAAGCAGCAGCTTTTGAAAACATGTAAATATGTACAGTCCTGTGGAACTGCAAGCCCACTGGCCACCAGAGCCAGATGACACAGAGGTGTCCCCTGGGCAGCAGCCACAAAAATAGGGACACCAGACACATGTAAAAGCTCCCTTCCGGGAGATACTGGTGCTCTGGAGTGTGGCAAAGGGAGGGTGCCAGGATGGCACCGACAAGTCTCAGTCCCTGGAGTGTGTTCCAGTGGGCTCCTAGATGAGTGTGGTAGATGAGATGCCTGCCCCTCGGGCTGATGCTTTAATACAAGCAGCGAGCCTCCATCACTGGGCATGAGCTGCTGCCTCTAAGCTGGGCCCAGGAGTGAATGAATCTGAGCACACGGGCCCATTTCTTAGATCACTTCAGTCTTGTGGGTCTTGGGACATGAGCCCTGCTGCTTTTGGGGAGCTTGTCTCTCAGCTGCAGGTCTTAAAAGTTAAGGTGCCCAATGTGGGGTGCACACCCTTCACTCCTCAGGGAGACGCTTCAGGCTTTGGATTTTCTCCGGGTTGTGGGTTGCCATGCTGCGGGGACTGGGTGGGGTTTATGACGAAATTGTGTTCCAGCCTCTCCAACCTGCTTCAATGTAGTTTTCTTCCTCTTTGCCCAACGTGTAGTCTTCACGCAGACAGCCTTTAGGTTGTTTAAAGAGGAAACTGTTGCATATGTAGCTGTAGACTCAGTGTGTCCACGGGAAGAGGTGAGTTCAGGCTCCTCCTATGTTACCATCGTGAACTCTCTCCTTATTTTATTTTTTTCCAAATTACTCAATAACCATCTTTTCCCAGAAAATGCTTTATTTTTAATATTTTATTCCACATTCTGAGGGGCAGCTATGGGGCACCAAGAAAAGGAGCACTTGTGAACACGGGTGCTTAGAAATGAATGTGCTTAATCCTTTATATCTAAAGCCTTCAAGAGTTCATTAATTTTTGTAGAATTCCACAAAATATGTCATTCACAAACTGCCTTTTTCACATACAAGAAGTGAGGCTTACAACTGACTGCAAAGCCTCAGAAGGGAGAGCAGAGTAAGCTCATAATATGAAGATTTATATTTTGCAATAGATGGCTTTAGGCCAGAAAATGAGGCCTAGCAAATGGTTCTAACAAGAGCCTGGAGAAAGTCTGGTCTCTTTAAAAATACTTCAAAAAAAAAAAACTTTTTTAAACAGTACATTCTAACTGTGCCATGGAAACTCCTCTGGCCAGCCTTTTATTTCCCCCGAGTTAGCCAGACTTCTTCCCCATCCAGGAAGCACCCTCCAAGACAGCGTGTGCCAAGGATCTACCATGTGATAATCGATTCCCTCCCTTCGCTCCCTTCAAGCACGCTGAGCTAGACAAAAGAAGACTGTGCCCTTTCTCTCTCCGTGGCTGTGGGGCTCCATGTCTTCCTCTGCCGTTGGCAGGGCGCTCTTCTGGCCTGGACTTCTGGTTCTGGGCTGTGCTGGGCAAGGAAGTCCCCCCGCGGATGCTAACTCTCTGCACTCCAACCCACTTCCGTGATTTTCTCTGTATCCCTGCGTGGTTCTCTGCACTCTCAGAGGCTCATACAGTATCCCCCGGTGTGTGAACCACAGGTACTAGTTCTGAGGCATATTAGTTAAGTTCCATATGAAAAATAAGTTGAGTAAAAGTGCAGTCCTATGGATTTGGGAAATGCTGGGCTAAAATGAAATCAAAGAGACTGTTTCTTGCAGGACATCTCAGGGCCTTCAGAGTGGTAGTGTAGGGTGCGCATCTTTAAGAAGACAGTAGCCAAGCTCTGATCAGAGGATCCTTTGGAGGGGAGGGAATGGATCTGGAAGGGGTTTGATCCATGTGATACTTATTAAAACAACTGCACCCCTAGGACTCTTTCCATGACTAGCTAGAAGCAACTAAAAGGCATCTACAGAACAAACAAGTTACAAAGACAGAAAAACACATACCTGGTCAAAAACCCCCATGGCTAAAACAGGCAGTGATGTGTAGACAATGTTAAAAAGGGTGATGAACCACTGGTCATAGACAGTCTGAAAAGAAATGAACACACCAGTGAGAACCATCATCCACACAGGAGTGAAAACAGTCACTTTCAGGCTCTTGCATTAAATAATTCAACTTCCTGAGGCAGACGGGAGTTTGGCACTAGGGTCAGACAGACATGAGTTCTCCCCCAAGCTCTGCCGAGTTAGTGGGATACTAGACCTTTCTAAACATCAATTTCTTCATCTCTAAAATGAAGCCATATTCTCCTTGAAGCGCTGCTGTGGGGATGAAAGGGCATCATACACATAGAACACTTGACACGACAGGGGGACACACAAAAGGCCCTTGCTCCTTATGGTCAGTTATTTCATTCTGGCTTATTGTAAGTCCAATTACCTGATCTAAGCAAAAAGCAAATGCGCCACTGACATCTTCAGAGGGAGATACAGAAATGAACCTGAGCGCCCCACCCTGTGTTCAGGTGGAAAGCTTTTCCTTGGGCGTGGTTTACAGCAAGATGGGCGTGGAGCTAGCTGCTCACTACACTGGGTATAAACAAGTGAGACAATAAAAACATCCCCTTAGGCGTATGGAGAGTACTTCCTTGCATGAGCGGCACTAAAAGTCAGTGAGGCATGTGAAACAGTTATTATATCCCCAGTACATTAATAAGTACATGGAGATGTAGAAACAGGATGTAGTAAGTGTTAGAGCTTATCACAGGCAAAGGCAAAAATCAAAACCTAGGCCTCCAGCTCCTAACCAATGTCTGTTCTATCATTCATTCATTCATTATTTATTGAGAAACCACTATGTACCAAGGACCAGGTTCTAGGCAATAGTAATTGAACATGATACAATCAGATAAAAATTCCTTATGAAATTTGCACTGTAATGGTGTCAGGAAACAGACAATAAGTAAGATTATACATTCATATTATCTGTACATAGTATATACCGTTGGAGAGTGAATGAGTGTGAGAAGGTAAAGATAATAGGGTAGAAAAGGAGATTAAAAATGTGGAAGGGTTGTAATGGTGATAAAGTGACTGGAGAAAGTCTCACTAAGAAGTGACATTTGAGAAAAAATCCAAAGAAATAAAGAGTCGAAACATGCAGCTTTCCAGGACAAGAACATTTCATATTTCAAGCAGATGCCACGAAGAACCCTTGAGGTGAGAGAGCCTCTGGTATGTTCAGAGGACAGCAAGACGGTCCATTTGGCTGGAGCAGAGTGCCCTACAGAGGGTATGATGGCTAAGAAATAAAGAGGAGGATCCTATGTAGGTAACTGTGCCTATTCCCTAGGGAAAATGAGAAGACATCCGAGGATTCTGAGCACAGGAACATCCTGATCCAATCTGTATTTTAACCTGATCACTCTGGATGCTGTGGTGAGAACAGAGGAGGGGCCATGGCGGGAGATGGGAAACCAGTGAGGAGGCTACTGCAGTGGTCCAGATGAAAGACAAAGGTGCTGGACCAGGTGACCTGCAGGGAGAAGTTCTGGATTTTTAATATATTCTGAAGTACATTTTCTTCTTAGGGAAGTTCTGAAAGCAGTAAGGAATCTTAAATGCAAATGCTCCATACAGAGAAGCTAAAGGCAGATTCCACATAGGTATATAAATATAGCAAGCCTTTAAATTATGTCCTGTACAGTAGATTATATCAAAGAAAAAAGTATTTTGGTGTCTTTATTGCTAAACCTGGACTTGGACTACTCTGTGTTAGTGTTACTGTTTATTCTTGAGATGGGTGTATCCTTGTTCAAGGAAAGGGGAAGTGGAGACTGCTCTTCAAAGGCCAAATCTCATTCTGGACTCTTCTGTTGAAGTTCCACAGGTGGTCTAACTCAACACCAAATAAACCAGACAGTGTAAAAATGCTGATTATTGTATTCTGAGCAAGGTTAGCCCTGTGGTAAGAAGTAAGGAGGGTGGACCTTCCCACTGTCAATCATCTTGAGGGGAGTTCAGTCTTAGGGCAAAAAAAAAAAAAGGGTGGGGAGGGTATAGCTCAAGGGGTAGAGAGCATGCTTAGCATGCATGGGGTCCTGGGTTCAATCCCCGATACTTCCTCTAAGAATCAATTAATAAGTAAACCTAATTACCTACCCCCACCAAAAAAAAAAAAGAGTGAGAGAAAACAGAAAAGGGAAAGAGGAGTGGGGAGATGACGGAAGGAAGGAAAATGTACTTTCTGTGTATCCCAGAGAGTTGAGGCCTGGAATCCACATAGGAAGATCTGCTCAACATCATTCTCCTTGAGGGTGGGCCAGAGCTCAGCGGGCAAGATGAATTCTTCCACCAATAAACAGCTGAGACAGGATTTAGGCAAAGTAGCAACATTAGGGATACAATCAAGAGGCTTATGGTTGTGACTCAAAATAACCACCTCTAGTGACCAGTTTTAAGTTCTTGAATGATCAATTTCCTACTATTCTTTGAGACCTGTTAAACTCTCTTCTTTGAGTCTGAACTCTGCTGTAAGGGTTTGAAAAGGAGGACTATGTCCAATGATATGCTAAGTGTTTAACAACTCACAGGAAAGAAGGAAGGAAAGGAAAGGAAAGGGAAGGAAAGGAAAGAAGGAAAACGCCCTGATTTGTAGCACTGACCAGTTTCCATGGTGTAAATACTTTGCCATGGCTGTTCAAGCAGTGATCTCACTAACTAAGTCAACAAGCGACAGGCCATAGCTCGCCAGTATGTAGTATTTCCACCATCCAGATCCAACATATGCAAATAACCTCAAAAGCACAATTAGTAAATTATGGCGAAATAATTTAAAAGTGATGAGTCTTGAGTATTTACAAACTTTTTAATATAATCTAATTTGTAGTAGCTGTGTTTAACCACGGGCTCACATAATTCCTAAGAACCGAACAATCAGCAATTAGGAACCAATATGGGCCAGCTCTAGCCCACCACAGCCTATGTGCATGCTTGGAGCAAAGTAGTACAAGACAGAAGCAGTCACCTAGAGGATCTTAGACTCAACATGGCAAGACAGAGCCTGCAGAAGGGCAGAGCAATACCCAGAGAATCAGGCGACCATGAGAACAGACTAGAAAAGCTTGTCATCATCACCTGGAAAGCCCCCAGATATTTTAGTAGAGGTATCTGGAACAAGCCTGGATTTATGGTATTCTTTTAAGATCGAGGCATGTGCGCCTACACAGTAACAACTGGTTCATACCAAATGCCCACTAAAGATTAAAAAAAAGCTAAGGTAAAAACAAAACAGAAATATCTTCATCAAAGCATCAATGAACCACTAATGGGGAGTGCCTGTCAAGATAAGGGAGAGGATTGGAATTTAAGAACTACTTCAAGGCCTAGATGCTGTTTTCTTTCTCCGGAGACTAAGTTTATCTCCTTCTAGCAGTTGCTGAGGATGGGATGAAGGCCTGAGGCTTTCTGGACCAGCCAGCTGTCCTGCCATAGTGCAGCCTGTGACCCTATTGCCAGGAGCTGCCTTTCAGTCCCAGCCCAGAGTGGGCGCCTCTACCTTTGATGGGCATTGAACCTTGGCCCTCTAGTCTCAGGAGACAGTCAAAAAGCAGAGGATCACGAGCTCCTCAGTTACCTCTTGTAGCTCATCAACAGCCCCAGGGTACATGGTTCAGAATAGTCAACCTCCAGGGTCCCAGCCCAGAGCAGGAGTGTTAACAAAGTCGCAGACACCAACTCCTATCTTCTGGACTCCTGTCTGCTTGGCCTTGTTCTCTTCCTTCAGATGAGCAAATGGGTCCAACAACTCTACTCCTAGACATGTTCAGAGTGTTTGCCCTCATGCACCAGGAGACGTATGAAAATGCTCAGGCCAGCCCTGCTTGTAACAGTCCCAAACCAGGAACACCCATCAGGAGTGGAACAGAGAAAGATACTGAATGCTACCAAATAATGAAAAGCCAGGAACTACAGTGATTTGCAAAAACACAAAAGAATCAAAAATATACAACGTTGAGCAAAAGAAGCCAGATAGAAGAGTATGATTTCATTTCAGTAAAGTTCAAAAATGTGCCAATCTATTCTATGTTGTTTAGGGATTCATACTTACATGGTAAAAATATAAAAAACTGATTATAAAATATCAGGGCAAGGACGACCACTAGAGAGTTGGACAAAGAAAGGGGTGTGACTGAGAGAAGCAAGGGGAGCTCCTGGGGGTTGGCAACGTTCTGGGTCTTGCACTGGATGAGGGCAGCGTGTGTCTGTTTTACAACAGTTTGTTAAGATGACATTTTTGTATTACATACATACTTGTAGGTTTTTCATATTTACAAATAAAGTGCCATATTTTAAGAAAAAGGAGACACATGATCTTCTTTTTCAGTCATAGTCTGGTGAGGCTTTCGGCACCGGGAGGATTCTGCACGTCCTGATGCCCGTGCCACACCCAGGACAATTAAATCATCAGTAATGTAAAAAATTTCCCAGGTGATTCCACTGTGAAGCCACGGTTGATGATTTTAATCACCCCCATTTAATTTTTTTTAAAGCAGTAGCTAACACAAATCCTCAAGTATTTGATGATGGCATCTGACTTTCAATTCATTTCACGATTGCAGTATGAGAAACGTTAAAGGGGGAAAGTGGTTAAACTGAAGTCTTAGAGCCCCAGACAGGAACTGGTGCCATGAGATCTCTTCTTCCTCCACCTCATCCATCACCTGACCTCCACTCACGGAGAAGAGGTGATTTTAGGTATAAGGAAGAAAGACTCTGGAAAATGAAGACCTGTTAAACTATGAGTAGCTGATGGTCCAGCCTCCAGTGCCATCCTCAGCACAAACTGGCCAGCACTGAACCTACCATGATTGGATGGTAGCAGGTGTAAGTGGGCACGCAGATGTAAAGCCTCACTTCACAGCGGGAGCAAGAGAGGCCAGGAAAGGAAGGTCCGTGAGAATAAAGTTTAAATGACTTTTTGCAATTGTTTGGAAGCATTTTTGGTGCCACTCAGAATCACAAGAAAAAGAAACTAGCTCATATGTAATGAATACCTACTATGTACCAGGCACTATTTTAAGGGATTT